AAAGAGTGAGACCCACCCCCAGGAAGGACAGCCTCTGTCAGGAGCTGCCATGGTCCCCTCGCCCCCGATCTGAGGCGCAAGGTTAGCAGGGAGGGCTGAGAGCAGGGGCCCCCACCTACTCACTTGGAGCCTTGGTTTCCCTCTCTGCAAAATGGGAATGCTGAAACCAGCCATGCCTTCCCCTCGGGGCTGCGGGGATGATTAGGTTTTTTGGATAGTACCCTTTCAACATGGTTAGTGATCCTGAGAGACAGAGCAGACTTCTGCTCTCTTGCAAAGGCCCAGCCCTCACAGAGTCAGGAGAGCCGTGCTCCCTGACAGTCATGCTTCTTCCCCCCTTTGCATCCCCCAGCCAGCTGGGACTGTTCTAGGATGGCACTTAGGCTGGCACCCAGGGAGATGGAGAAGTGCCAGTCCACAGTCCCACCTGGATGAGGGGACCTGTTCTCCTGGGGCACACGCCTCTTCTCCAGACTCAACGCAGGGCCACTCCCCAAAACTGTTCACCCAGAGCCCAGGGTGTTAGGACTCGTTTCCAGGTCAAAGGACTGCGGCTGTGTGATGGGGTAGGATAGGGAAAGTGCTAGAAAGGCTGCATGATACCAGCTCCTGCTGGAGGCCTGGGTTGTCTCTAAAGCCCCTATAGCCCCCTCAGGTCCGGGGATGGACGGGTTCCTGACACTGTGTCGGCCTCAGGCGGCCCAGCCACCCATGGTGGCTCCTTTCCTCTCGCTTTGCACACTCACTCCTGGGTTTGTTTTTCTTTCTGTCTTTCCATTTTTTTTCTCTTCCTGTCTTAGCTGCGTGTTTTCCCAGAATTCTTATGGGAACGGGGTATTTTCCTGCCCCCTCCCCCTTCCCCTTGTCTGTCAGATTTCCTGTTTTACAAACTGGCTTTGACTCCAGGCCGGGGGCTGGTGGGAAGCAGAGCCTTAGAGGCTTTGGCAGCTTCCAAGAACCGTGATCACCATGGGTTTCTTCCTGCTCTCCTAACTCGTGCCTGGCCTGGGGACAGCAGCAGGTGAATGCCGGCACCCGGGCCTGAAGAGACAGCCCTTAGAGGAGAGAAGCAGAAATCCCCTAACAAGGCTGGCACCTGACCTTTTCCTGGGCTTGCTGACCTGACTTCCTCCTCACCTGGCCTGGAACACTCTTCTCCATGCTCCCCAGGCTCATGCCAAGTCCCACTTCTAGGGAGTCTCTTGCAGCCCCACCGAGCCCCTTCTCCTGCCTTTGCTCCTGCAGCCAAATGAGCCTGAGCCCGCGGAGCGCACCTCACGCGGCCTCGTTTGGTGGGACGTGGCCGGCCGTCTTCACTAGCTTAGTCCTTGCCGAGTTCTGACATGTGCCCAGCATGCTGTCCAGAATCAGGGCAAAGCGCTGGCCACACCACAGCCCTCGTGTCTTGCACTCTTGCTTGCTGTGCCTAGTTTGGCTTTGGAGAGATTTGTGTACCCTCGGGGCTCTCTGGAAGCCAGAGTCCAAGGCCTCATGTCTGCATAGCAGTTGAGCCTGGCATGCAGTAGGAGTCAGTAAGCATATACTGTTTGAAAAGCATCCAGATGGCAGGGTCCTTTCACGGGCCTTCTGAGAGTAGGGATGGGGCCTGCCTTGCCCATGGTAAGAGCAGTGGCGACTTTAGGTTCACCCGGGAGGCCTGACTCCCTTACCTGCAAGCTGTCCTCGGCCTTGAGGCCCCAGCTGTGGACTGCCCTGAGAACCCCCACGCTGCCCCTCCAAGCCTGGGCTAAGTTTGGGTGAGCAAGTCCCAGTGTCCCATCCGCTGCGCTCTGGGAGGGTAGTGGCCAGGTTGGCTTGGTCTTTGGTCTCTGGATAGGGCCAGCTCTGGGCCAATTTCTGTGAACCTCTGTGGGACAGGAGAAAAGGAGTATGGGAGGTGGGGGTCACAGGCCAGGTGGGCTGCTGGGGCCAAGGGGAGTGAGGTCCATTCTTGGACCCTGTTCACTCCAGGCTCTCCTGCTTTAACCGAGTTTATCTCCTGAGCTCTCAGCCTTCAGGCTTGGCCCACAACCCTGTGCTCAAGCCGCCTGAGCCAAGGTAGGGACAGTGAGGGGCCGGCCAGCTCTTCCTTGGCTCGTGTTTCTTGGAGAGGAGGGCCGTTCTGGGGTGGGGCCTGTGGGCTTCCCGACCGTGCAGTGAGGCAGTGGCCTTGAGGCTTCTGGAAGTGACCAGACAGGGCTGTGTCCTAGATCACCATCCCGAGGGGGAAGGACGGCTTTGGCTTCACCATCTGCTGCGACTCTCCAGTCCGAGTCCAGGCCGTGGATTCCGGTAAGTGATGCCAGCCCTGCTCACCACCCTGCACCCGGGCTTTGCAAACAGAGGATGCTACTGAGAGGGTAGCCCCAGGCTGGAGCAAAGTGTTCTGGTTTTTCTAAATGAAAAGAATAATATTTTTCAATGACCACAGATGAAATGGAGGCTTATGAAAATAGTCCCACTCTTTTTTGGTTTTTATCAAAATGAAAATAGGTTTTTTATATTTTGCTTCCCAAGGTTCTGAACAGGAACTAAACCTCTATTTTCTGTAACGGCTGCATGGATGGGAAAATGAGGGTCATTATAAACTCTACTTGGAATTGGTATTTTATTCGATTCCAGCCCAAATTGCATTTAAAAATTCCTTTCTTGCTTGCTTTCCACAAATAAAAGACTTCTCCTAATCACAGAGAGAGTAGCTGGGAGACAGAGCCAGAGCTCAGTGGTCGGGGTGACCCCAGTGCCTGTCCCTGAGTTGGGCTTGATGCTCAGTGCTGAGGGAATGAATGAAGTGAGACTGGCAGTGGGGCGGGGGAAGGAGCCTGAGCCAGCCCCGGGGGAGGCAGGCAGAGAGCAGGGGAGGACAAAGGTCCCACCCCCTAGGTCCTGAGAGCCACCAAGTTCAGCTCCTCTTTTCACAGATGCAGAAACAGAGAAAAGGGGTGGTCCTTGTCTGAGGTCACCATGGAAGCAAAGGGCTCTGGTCCTTTGAGGGGTCTTGTCTTCAGGGGCCCCTGAATGGCTTTTCTTTGTCCCTGCAGGGGGCCCGGCAGAGCGAGCAGGGCTGCAGCAGCTGGACACAGTGCTGCAGCTGAACGAGAGGCCTGTGGAGCACTGGAAATGTGTGGAGCTGGCCCACGAGATCCGGTGACAGGGACAGCGGGTGGCGGGGGCCCCTGGCCGACGGCACACCTCCCCCAACCCAAACCCGGGCACACTGCCCTGCTTTTGCCAGGCCTTCCTTTGCCCAGCTGTGAGCAATTCACTCTGCTCTTCAGGGGACCCGCTTCTTGGCCTGGAAATGGAAGGTTCAGGCTCAGAGCAATTTGGGATCCGGGAGCAAACAGCAGAGGAGACGCTCTCAGACAGACCCCCTGCGCCAGGACACGGCTCCAGGGGTTGCTTTCCACTTGAGCTAATTATTTCTGCTACCCAAGAGCTGAGTCCTTGGTTTTTTTAAGGACACGGAGACATTACCAATGTTTCAATTGCACAATGGGGACATTATTATTGTTTAAAATTTACTTATTTCTTCTGAGAGAGAGAGAGACGTAGCAGGAGTGAGGGAGAGACAAACATCCCCAGCAGGGGTTCATGTCACAGTGCACCCTCAGCCTCAGCCAGCCTGCCGTGCGCATGTGCCTGCCATGTATGGGAGGCTTCGGGATGCAATCCTGGGAACTTTTCTTATGGGGCTAGTTGTCCCACTGCCTGGCTCCCAAAAGATTATTCTTTAGAATGTTTGGTTTTCTCCCAAATTTTTCTTTTTTCTTTCTTTCTTTCTTTCTTTCTTTCTTTCTTTCTTTCTTTCTTTCTTTCTTTCTTTCTTTCTTTCTTTCTTTCTTTCTTTCTTTCTTTCTTTCTTTCTTTTTGGCCAGAGAGAAAGAGAGAGAGAGAGAAAAAACAGACAGACAGACAGACATGGAGGGAGAGGGAGAAAGCACCTCCTGATGGGGCATGGTCATGCTGTGATCCCTGGTCCTCCATTTTTCTCCATCCTATTAGGATTGGGAGCACGGCCATCAACCATGTGCACATGCGCCCTGCATGTTTTTAATTTTGTTTTATGGAGAGGTTTTTGCTATAGGGTGCGTGCGCTCACCAGAAAGAGAGAGATAGAAAGAGAGAAATCACCCCCCAGAGGGGATGGCCATGCCACAGTCCCTTCTCCATACTCCTCTTGGGATCTTGGGCATGCATGCACATGTGCCTGGCATGAGTTTAAGCCACTGGGTCTGGGACTCGAACTGTGGTTGACTACATGGAAGTCCAATGACGTAGCCATTATGCCATCTGCTGGTCCCAATGCCCTGCATGTTTTTTAAGCTATAGGGGCTGGGATTAGAATTGTAGTGGGCCATATGGCATTTGGCTCCCTTAACCATTAGGCCTTGAGTCTAGCCCATGGGTCCCTGACTTTTGACCCCCTGGGGTCAAACCTTTTAGGTTTGCTTCTGGAGTGACTGGCTGAGGGGTTGCTCTTAGGTGGCTTGCTTGTTCTTGCTTGCATGTCTCTCATCCATGACAGACATCATAAGTTGAGTGTGCGACTCTTCCCTGTTGAACCTGGCCCTGACTTCAGGGGCCTTCTCAGCTCCTGCCAGTCAACTCGGGTTGACCTAAGAGAATCCTCTGCCGTCTCTGGTTTTAGTGGCCTCTTACATCCCAACACTGGCGACTCCCTCTCTGCATCTGCTTCTTCCTTCTCTCCTCTTCTTCTCTGCCCTGCAGGGTCCCACCTTGATTAATCTTGGTCTGTGCCAACTCATTTCTCCATATGATCTTCCACTTCCAGGAGCTGCCCTAGTGAGATCATCCTGTTGGTATGGCGCATGGTCCCCCAGGTCAAGCCTGGGCCAGATGGAGGGGTCCTGCGGCGGGCCTCCTGCAAATCAACGCATGACCTCCAGTCGCCCCCCAACAAGCGGGAGAAGAACTGCACCCACGGGGCCCAGGCGAGGCCTGAGCAGCGTCACAGCTGCCACCTGGTGTGTGACAGCTCAGATGGGTTGCTGCTCGGCGGCTGGGAGCGCTACACTGAGGTGGCCAAGCATGGGGGCCAGCATACCCTACCTGCGCTGTCCCGTGCCACCGCCCCCACCGACCCCAACTACATCATCCTGGCTCCTTTGAACCCTGGGAGCCAGGTACGAACTGTTAGAGTGGGGAGGTCAAGGGCATTGGGTCCCTGTGGGAGCCAGAAGGACTCGAAGACTCAAAATGATGTTGTGAGGAACCTACAAGGGGCTGGACTTTGGAGCTGGGAGCCAGGACATGGGCTAGCTCTGCCTCAGTACGGCTCTCCTTGGTAGGGAGAACAGATGGGGCTATGCAGCCTCAGGGCACGGAGCCAAGGTCAGGGCATATGCAGGCTGGAAGACTTCACCTAGTGAGAAGGAAGAGCTTTCTAGCAGCCCTTGTTTTTCTGCAATGGAATGGGCTGTCTCGGTAGGTGGTGAGCTCCCTGTCATAGGAGGTGTGAAACCAGATATTGTAATTGCATCAGGGGATGATGGAGTGCATTCCTCAAAATATTAGTCCCATGAGATACTCTGAGAAAAAAGTGTTCTGAAGTCAAATACATTTGAGGAATATCTCATACTCTTCCTCTTTGAGGCCTCTTGCAACTCAAATATTCTAGGATTCCCTGTTTGCTCCAAACTCCATCAGCTGGTTATAGAACATCTGTTTTTTCCTTGTACGAGGTGCTCCACTTCCTATGCCCCAGCTATGGTGTCAGGGGCCCTGCATGGCTGCCCTGCCCTGTTCTGGGGCTCATATGGTTCTCCTGTCTCTCTCTTGCAGCTGCTGCGGCCCGTGTACCAGGAGGATACCATCCCTGAAGGTGAGTCTAGCCTGCTTCTGCTGCTATGCCCTGCAAGCCCAGAGAGCGGTGGTGGTTGGGGTGAAAAGGAGGCAGCTGAGGCCTGGCTCAGCTTCTCCCCTGAGCTGCAGGCCTTTCCAATGTGGTCAAGGCCATCTAGCACACTAACACAGACTCTCTTTCCTCTTGGGACCTTCTTATTTGTTTGTTGAGATTATTATTTTTGTTTTGTTTTGTTTTTGTGGTAGAGTGGGTGCACTCACCAGAGTCACGAGAAAGACAGAAAGTGACAAATTATCCACCAGGCAGGATGGCCACACCACAATCCCTTCTCTTCCATTCTCCTCTTGGGACACACACACACGCCCGGTGTGAGTTTTAAGCCACCAGGTCCAGGACTCAAACTGTGGTCAACTACATGGAAGTCCAGCGACGCAACCATTACACCATCTGCTGGTCCCCCTCTTGGGACCTTTTCTCCCTCACGAAGCCAGTGTTTTTCTTGAAGCCAGAACTGAAAAGGAAGAGAGAGAATCTTACCAGAACAATCTAAGAGACAGGGTGTTCAGGACTCAGGCATTCAATTGAGACTCATCCAGTTTTACTAGGCAATTAATGCATGCTAGGTATTATAGGTGACCCAGGTGGGCCTGCATGGAAGGGTGTCATGGGATTTGGACCTGGGAGGTCTCAAGTTGGAGTTCTCGCTGTGTGACTTTCAGCAAATCATGTCCCCTCAGTGAGTCTCAGTTTTTGATCTATAAAATGGGACCAATAATTTCTCCCTCAAAGTGTTGTTGGGGGGATTAAATGAGAAAAGGGTTGTGAGTAGTACCTGTATTCTGAGAGATCTTACCCAGGGGGTAGTTGGCTTTGACATGCACAGATGTCTCTCCTGTTTGAATGGAGTCTTCTTTGTCCTTCAAATCCTGGTCAGGGATGGACACTAGGTTCTAAACCAATTCTCCTAGTAAGCCTGAGATATCAGTCTTGACCCCGGAGCTGCCCGGGCCTTCTTTTAGGCCCTCTGTGCCCTCCTTCTCTTCCATTCTCCTCTTGGGACACACACACACGCCCGGTGTGAGTTTTAAGCCACCAGGTCCAGGACTCAAACTGTGGTCAACTACATGGAAGTCCAGCGACGCAACCATTACACCATCTGCTGGTCCCCCTCTTGGGACCTTTTCTCCCTCACGAAGCCAGTGTTTTTCTTGAAGCCAGAACTGAAAAGGAAGAGAGAGAATCTTACCAGAACAATCTAAGAGACAGGGTGTTCAGGACTCAGGCATTCAATTGAGACTCATCCAGTTTTACTAGGCAATTAATGCATGCTAGGTATTATAGGTGACCCAGGTGGGCCTGCATGGAAGGGTGTCATGGGATTTGGACCTGGGAGGTCTCAAGTTGGAGTTCTCGCTGTGTGACTTTCAGCAAATCATGTCCCCTCAGTGAGTCTCAGTTTTTGATCTATAAAATGGGACCAATAATTTCTCCCTCAAAGTGTTGTTGGGGGGATTAAATGAGAAAAGGGTTGTGAGTAGTACCTGTATTCTGAGAGATCTTACCCAGGGGGTAGTTGGCTTTGACATGCACAGATGTCTCTCCTGTTTGAATGGAGTCTTCTTTGTCCTTCAAATCCTGGTCAGGGATGGACACTAGGTTCTAAACCAATTCTCCTAGTAAGCCTGAGATATCAGTCTTGACCCCGGAGCTGCCCGGGCCTTCTTTTAGGCCCTCTGTGCCCTCCAGAGAGCTCGGACTCAGAAGTCCAGTTGGTTTGTGGAAGGTGGAGACCAAGTTTGCCAGGCGGCCTTCAGTGTTCGTCTTGGCCTGTGCTTGAGCCCCTCCTCTGGTGCCTTTTGCTGGAGATAGAACTGGGGCAAGAGAGAGAGAGAGTCAGGTGGGGAGAGAGAGAGAAAGTGAGAAAGCACTCCCTTGCGGGGATGGCCACACTGCAATCCCTTCTGCATTCTCCTCTTTGGATTTTAGGCCTACACACATACAGCATGCCCTCCAAGCCACTGGGTCCGGGACTTGAACTGTGTAGTCAGCCATGTGAGATCCAGCTGTCTTAACTTTATGCCATTTGCTGGCTCTCTCAATCTCCTTTCTAGAGAGTGGCGTTTTCCCAGTCACTAACAGGCTTGCTTTTTGCCATTCCCCTCTCTCAGCAGCATGAAGATGCTATCTATAGCAGGTTCTTGGAAGAGTGCCTGTGCTTTGTTTGGGTCAAAAGGGCTCCTATAAAGCTGAGGATCACTGATGGAAGGCTCCTTCCTTCTATCCAATCTGGGGCATTATGGCAACTGCACCCGATCTGCTGGAAAAGACTCTGTGTTTCTTCTGGGGGGCACATTCTGTTTGAATGGAGGTGCCTCTGCTTGAAAGGTGGTACCTTCATTAAGAGCCGGGTCTGGGCCTGGCAGAATTTTGCTTGGGTCATCGACTGCAGGAGAATGTCTCTGATCACCTCTAAGTTTGGAAGCTGGTCGTGGAGTAGGGGGGCTGGAGAGGTGGGTTTCCCTCAGGGAACATGTGGGCATGGAATCAATTCTCCCCCTGCCTGAGAAAGGCCTCTGGGTCCCCTGGTACGCTCCCAATCTGCATCCACATCTTCGATCCACTCAGAGAATAGAATACTTGGTACACCATGGAGGGCACAGTGGTCTGAGCTGGGGGGAAAGGCTGCAGGGAAATGATGATCACAGCAGTGATGACTGAATGCATCGTATGGCGGTCTCCACCTTACATCATCTATTCTTCCTAACCATAATCCTTTTTGGTATTCAAGGATATCTGCTTTTTTTTAATTTTATTTTTTCTTTATTCATGATAGAGTGGATATACAAGAGAGAGAGAGAGAGAGAGACCCCTTCCATGGGGTCTGGTCATGCCGCAATCCCCTCCCTTTAGTACCCCAGCCTGTTGGATCTTGGACACTTGTGTGTGTGCTTGGTATGTTTTAGACTGACTACGCTGGGGATTTGAACCATGGTTGCCCTGTGGGATCTGGTTTCCCTTGAGCAATATATTATCACTGCACCATGGAGCTAGCCTCAGTTTTTCTTTCCTTCTCTTTCTTTCTTTTATTTATTTATTTTTGCTTTGTTGTAGTTTATTACCTTTTACCTTGAATAAAGTCATAGCAAATTGTTTGGTTTAGCTCTCAGCAGCCCGCTCCTGAACTCTGAGGAAGCTTGCCTTCCTCTGGGCTGCCCAATCTTTCTTCTGGGCAAGGGACATCTTGGGACGGTTCCACCTCTTCTTTTTAACTTCTTTCTTGGGTTTCTTTTCATAGACTGGGTTCTCTCATATAGCAGTGTGAGCTTACTTGTACATCTCCTCCATCACTTCTGGAGTTACACTATTCTTTATGTACTGAGAGAACTGTTTCTTGAAAGCGTCATCTTCCTCATTAGGTAACGCGTGTAGTCTGCAACGTTCTGCCCCATGATGTGCTTCCAATGGACTTCTGCGTTAAATTCCTTGCTTTCAGAATCATAACCAGGGAATCGTTCGGTGCTGTGAGGGATAGATAAGACTCCACCCACTGCTCCCTTCAGGGCCCCAAAAACGTTATTGCCAGTGGTGGTTCTGGCAAGGCCTGCATCCAAATAGCGGGTGAAGGCACCAGGTTGACCATCCATGCTTTCTACGTTGTACCCAACTCCGGTCACTTCCACTTGACCTTCATAGATCTTGTCCATGTCAAACCTACGGAGAAGCCTGTGGGCCAGCAGCAGGCCAGTACGATATGCTGCAGCATCATTTGTCAGGCCAGCCTTCACACCGTATTTTGGTAGTTGGTGTGCATAAGCTGCACAGACTATCGTATCCCCTTCTAAACGGGCATAAGCGATCTGACAAATGATATCTCTGTTAGTCACATGAACTATCAACCTGTATTTGGGTGTGTTGTACTTATTTTTATCCTGGATCACCAAGCGTTTCCGAGCATAGTAATCAGTTTTACCCTCTCGTCGTCTTCTAAATTTCACTTGGTATCTCTTAAAGTAGGCCTATTCTTGATGACTTTAACAAATCCCATCCTGTGGAACAGAGACCCGTGGCCGTGGTCGACCTGCAGGCCCACAGCACTACAGGGGGAAAAAAGCTCAGTTTTTCTTTTTTACCAGGGATCAAGTCTTCATAGTTCCCAGTCCTGGGCTTCAGAGGAGGGAATGAAATTCAGGCCAGGAAGCCCCCCTTAAACACACTTGTGGCTGTCCAGAAGTTAAAGCTGTCACCAGGGTGCTGACCGCTCAGTCCCCCTCCTCTGACCGGGCTGCCAGGAGGCAACCTTTCAGGAAGGAGTGTTGAGCTGTCTTGAGTTGAATAGGAGAGAGAGTTGAACTGCCCTGAGCCGAATAGGGTCTGGTGCCCTTCCGGGGCCTGAGGCGCCTGCCTGCCTGAGGCTGGCATGTTCCCCAGGGCCGCTGGTGCCCTCGACATTGTCCCCTGCTTGGTGAAGGCAGCCCAGTCTCAGATTCTCCACTGCTGGGGTGGGATGGCTGCCAGGCCTGCCTTGGAAGCCAGAGCAGGGCTATGTAATTACTGTGCTTGGTCAGTGAAGCAGGTGGCGGAGGAGAAAGTGGTGGGGGCAAAGTTGACCAGATGCCATGAGGCAGCAGGTGAAAGTAAGAAGTAAATTGAGTTTACCTTCATGGACCCAGCAGCGGGTCCCAACCTGGACTGTTCTAGAAAAGGAAACGTTGAGAGTCAGTTTTGGAGGGCCGTACCTTGTTGCCAACTGCCATCCAGGAGTGTGTGGAGGCGGGCATGACCACCACATAGGCTGGGTTGATCCCACCCTGGCAGGTCATTTCCTGGCTGCATGACCATGGGCAAGTCACCCAACTACTCCAGGTGCCAGTCACCTTGTCTGTAAAGTGGAGTTCAGCAGACCTCTTCTCCCCAAAGGCTGAGGTACATGTCCGGTGGCTTATTTATAACACTTGAGGCCCAACACATGAGGATTCTTTGATAGCCCTGTATCGCTGGGCTGGGAAAGAAGAAATAGTTTCTTTTGAAAGTCTGAGACTAGGGGCCCAGGGCCCAGATTTTGGCATCTGCAAGTGGTTCCCTTCTTAGTTCTGGTCTGTTTTGCTGCAATCTCCTACTTGTCAGTCCTGCATGGTTTCCCCTTCTCTGGTGTAGGCCTGGCCATGTCTCAGTGAGTGAGCTAGTTCCAGGCAGATCCCATGACCCGGCTCCTGCCTGGTTTGAGGCTCATTCCGACATACCTTGCCTGTCCTACCAGTCCTCGGGGGGATTGCTCAGTGCATGGGGATTATTCTCTTACTCTGCCATAAGCCACCAAGCCCTTTCCCATCAGGTCTCTTTTCTTTTTGAGAGATTTTTGCTATAGGGTGTATACACTCTCCAGAGAGACAGAGAGACAGAAAGTGAGAAATCACCCTCCAGAGGGGATGGCCATGCCACAATCCCTTCTCCTCTGTTCTCTCAGGATCTTGGGCACACATACACATGCACCTGATGTGAGTTTTAAGATGCCGGGTCCAAGACTCGAACCACAGTCGACTACATGGGAGTCCAGCAATGTAACCATTACGCCATCTGCTATTCCTGTCCTATCCGGCCTCTTACATGAGCCTCTCGTTGACCCTGGGGCGGGCAAGGCAGCAAGCAATCTGTGTACCCTGCACTTCGCCGTGGAGAAAACTGACTCAGGGCAGGAACCTGTTCGGGGTTGCATAGCCAGTCTCAGACTTGGGAAGTCAGTGCTTAAGTTTGGTGTTGTGTCCATCTCCAATTCGGTGCAGATCTTAGGGTTAGATGGCAGTTTGAGCAAAGGAGCCAGGGCCTGGCAGCTCACGCCCCCGTGGGGGCGCGATTAAGGTCTGACTAAGGTCCTAGCCTCTATTCCGCCTACCCTGTCCTAGGCTTGTGCTCTCTCTGCCTCTCTGAGCAGCTCGCCAAGAGGCAGGAAGTGGTTTAAGTTATTGTGGTTTAAGTGTTGGCCCTGGATTCGACTGTGCTCAGTGGTCACTTGTGGGGGCAGCTGACTTGTTTTTCTCACCTTGCTCGGTGAGCAGGGCCCCCAGGTGGGAGGAGGAAACAAGTGTGAAACCTTCTGAGCTGAGTGTTTCCTCTGAGGCCGTGGGCTTTGCGTTGGTGGGGAGCTTCCCTGAGGTGTGTCTGGGGTCAGCCACCTGTTCACCCTTGGCTGCCAGGGCTGGGGGTGGTGAGAGGAGGCCCCAGGCTGGGCACCAGGTCAGGGAGGGCCTGTTCAGTTGCCCGCCAGCAGCAGGAAGCCCTCGGAAGGGGCCCAGGTGTGTGCAGATCACCATTGCTCTGGGGCTTGCCTTGTATGCAGGCGTCGCTGGCTTGTTAGCTCCTGTGTGTTTTGCTCCTTTGCCCATTTGATAGGACGTGATAAAGACTTGGTTGGGATGAGCATGGGTGTCCAGCAGTGTCCTCTTAAACAGGGCCCCCTGCCTTTGCAACCTTCTGCTCTCTTCCCTGGGGTTGGCCTTGTTTCTCTCTCTCTCTCCTTTTTATAATTGGAATAATTATGAGTTGGTGTCGAAGCCTTAGTACCTCCTAGATGCCATGAAGCTTTGGATTCCTAAGGTCCCTTGGGATTGAGTTTGATTTTCAAACTTGCTTTTGCAAGGGGAAGAGTCACGATGATAACAAAAAGAAGTAGGCAAGGGGCCAGCTGGTGGTGTGATGGCTAAGGCACTGGATTCCACATGGCCGACTGCGTAGTTGGAATCCTGGGCCCTGTGGCTTGAAAAACATGCTGGGTGTGCATGCATGCCCAAAACCCCGAGAGGAGAATGGAGGACAAAAGCCTGCAGTATGGCATCTCTTCTAGGGGGTGTTTTCTCACTTCCCCTCTCTCTCTGTCTCTGTCTCTGTTCCTGGTGAATGCACATGCCCTATATCAAAAAAGACTAAAAGAAGAAGGAGCAGCAGCAGCAGCACACAGCTCAATTTTGCTGCACACATGCAGGTCCCAGGCCCTGGCCTAAGGACTTTCTTTTATTTATTTATTTTTTTGGAAAGGTTTTTGCTATAGGGCACGTGCGCTTGCCGGACAGACAAGAGAGACAGAGAGACAGAAAGCGAGAAGTCACCCCCCACGGGGGATGGCCACGCCGCAATTCCTTCTCCTCCATTCTCCTCTCGGGATCTTGGGCACGCAGGCACACGCACCCGGCGTGAGTTTAAGCCACCAGGTCTGGGACTCGAACCGCGGTCGACTACGTGGGAGTCCAGCGACATAGCCGTTATGCTAACTGCTGGTCCTCAGGACTTTCTTAAAGTCTCACAGCAAGCCAATGAGCTTGGCCTGTTTTAGGATTTGAGGTGGATACGAGGGAAGCACAACCCTGACGGGGAGGTCAGCCACCCAAGGTCACCACGCTAGGCTCTGGGGCAGCAGGACTTGAGCATGGCCGTCTGACCTCAGCACCTGTGCTCTTTACCCAGACCTGGAACAGAAGTGCCGCTTTGTACTCCAGGCTGACTGATGTGAGCCAGGCTGCTCGCGCTCCCGGGGGAGGGAGGGCAGACCCTCACAGGTCCCGGGAAGGCCTCCGCCTCTGCTCCGCTGCTGACAGCAGATCCCTGTCCATGGGGCCTGGGTGGTGATGGGATGGGTAAGCTGGGCTGGAATGCCCGGGCTGGAGTGGGATGGTGGCAATAGGGGTGCATACATCCTGCCACGCGGGACAGTCACCACTCTGCTCCAAATGAGTGTTTCACGTGGGACTGTGAACCCAGTGAGGTCAGATCTTCTGATTTTCAAAAATATGAAGACTTTCTTTTTTAAAGGGATATTTTTGCTAAAGGTTGTGTGCACTTGCTGGAGAGACAGAAACAGAGAGATGGAAAGTGAGAAATCATCCCCCAAGGGGATGAGCAAAGTGTAATCCCTCCTCTTCCATTCTCCTCTTGGGATTTTGGCCACTCATGCACACCTGCCCGGTGAGTTTCAAGTCATTGGGTCTAGGACTCGAACTGTGGTCAACCATGTGGGAGTCCAATGCCTCAACCACTACACCACCTGCTGTCCCTGACATTTTGTAGATTTTACAAGCATGAGGCCAAACAGATAGGTCTAATTCAGGGCCTGGGTCACTATGGGGGATTCCTGTCATCACAGCTCCATCCTAGCCTGTGACATTGCCTGTGTATGTGTCATCATCTCACTAGAGTGACAGGGAATTCCTTGAGGCCTGAGACCCTCCTGAGGTCTCCTTCTGGTCTCAACACCTTGCAGGGGGCCTGGCGCAATCTACGTAATAGATGCTTAGTAAACTGTTGTTCACTAAATGAGCTGTGTTCCCTTTTTCTGCAGAGGGGATGCCTTTTCAGGGCCGATGGAAATGTCTGATAGCCCCGCTATGTCTGTTCCTTCCACAGAGTCAGAGAGTCCCAGCAAAGGGAAGTCCTACTCAGGCCTAGGGAAGAAGTCCCGGCTGATGAAGACGGTGCAGACTGTGAAGAGCCACGGAAACTACCAGAATTGCTCAGTCATGAGGCCACACACTCCACACTCAAGCTACGGCACCTATGTTACCCTAGCCCCCAAAGTCCTGGTGTTCCCTGTCTTTGTTCAGGTGAGCCTGTGGCTGGCCCCAGCGGCCCCCTCTGGGGAAATGAGAAAGAAGAGGGGCCTCAAGCCTAGAACTTAGGGATGGTACTTCATCCCAGGGATAAGATCCTCTTTTGGGAAAGAGCTTCTAGTGCTCAGGGTTCTGGGGGTTCTACTGAGGGAGCAGAGCTTCCAGGAGGACACGCAGGAGAAGGTGGGGGCAGGGGAGCCCAGCAGTGAGGGGCTGCTCTCCTTCCCCTCCTGGCCTCTCCCATCTCTGGGGATAGGCAGGTCACCACCATTGCCAGCTGTGACGTTCAGGCCTGCTTGTCAAGGTTCCCACTCACTGGCTCCTCTAGGGGCTTGTGCCTGGGCAGTAGCTGAGGGAGACCCTAGAGGTCTGGAGCATGTCTGAGCTCCTTGCTTTTGGAAGATGTGTCTGGGCAACATAGGCTGAGATCCCTCTAGATCTTCCTTCTCCTGCTTCTCCCTCTTCTTCATTCTCTTCCTCCCCATTTCTCTCTCCTTCTCTTTAAAAATAACCTTTATTTATTCCATTGCCCAGATAGAATGTTTAGTTATCTTTCTGCATCTGTTTACACACATACATGCAAAAACCCCAAACTGCTCTTATTCTATATTTGATATCTTATTGCCTTATTTCTTGATAGGGCTTGCATAGCTGTACCTCATGTGTTCAAGTTGGCCTCAGAACTGAGTCTGGGCCTTTGAGGCACTTTCCAGTCTCTCAAGTGGTGGTGTGACCCAGGGATCACTGTGACTGGGCCTATCCTTTTGCCTTTTTTTTCCTTTAATTTTGCTATAAGGTGTGTGCACTCACGAGAGAGAAAGAGAGAGAGAGAGTGAGAAAGCACTCCCAAGGGGCGATGGCCACACTACAATCTCCTCCATTCCTCCATTCTTCTCTAAAGACTTAGGGCACACACTCACACATGTTTGGCATGTGCCTCAAGGCGCTGGGTCCAAGACTTGAGCAGCGCAGTCGGCCATGTGGGATCCAGATGCCCCAACCACCAAGCCATTGACTGGCTCCCTACTGCCTTTTTGTTTTGTTTGTTTTAGAGGGATTTTTGCTACAGGGCATGTGTACTCACTGGAGAGACAGAGAAAGAGAAAGCAAGAAATCATCCCCCAGCGGAGATGGCCATGTTGCAATCCCTTCTCCTCCATTTCCCTCTCGGGATTTTAGGCATGCACACACATGCTCCTGGGGTGAGTTTCAAGGGGTGAGTTTCAAGCCACCAGGCCTGGGACTCAAACTGGTCAACTATGTGGGAGTCCAGTGATGTAACAATTACACCAATTGTAAGCAAAAATTGTAGTGTGAACAGTTCCCACATCACTGTGTGTTCTTTGAGCCTGTGTTTTGTAGTGGTTGTCCACTATCTATGGATATATCCTACTTATTTAACCCATTCTCTATTAAGATACTTACATTATACCCATTCTTTTGCTATAAATAACTCTGATGAAAGTCCTTGTGCATGAATTGCTTCTCCGATGATTTTCTTCGGGAGAGATTCCTAGAAGTTAAATGACTGGGTCGTGGGTCATAAACATTTTAAAGGCTGTTTATACATATTGACAAATTGCTTTCCAGGAAGATTCTATTTCTTTATCTTCTCTTCCGTAGCATCAAGGTGACACAGCCCCAAGGGCTTCATTTCTGCCCAGGTCTTCCTCCTCTGGCCTCTCTGGAATCCCACTCTGGCCCGACCCTCCCTGGTGGAGCTCAGAACCCCCACTTTGTTTGGATACGGTGCATCCCTGGCAGGCAGCCCACCTCCTCCTCAATAGCTCTGTCCGCAGAGCCTTGCCTTTGCTTTTCTGCTGGTCTCCTCTTTTTCCTAGAAGGTGATTTGAAAGTCTAGACAGCCACAGGAGTTATTGTTACTATTATTATTATAATTTTTAAAAGAATGATTTAACTTTATTTACTTATGTGTGTATTTATTTATTTTTATTTGACCAGAAAGGTACAGAGTGAGAGAGAGGAAAAGTGAGAAAGCAAGTCGCCAGGTCTGAGACTCAAACCGCAGTTGGCTATGTCCAGCCCCCTTAACCACCATGCCACCTGCCAGCCCTATTACTATTATTTTTTAAAAATTCCAGAGGGTTGGAGACCAGCAGATGGAGTAAGGATTTCATCACTGGACTCCCACATTGTCGACCGACTGTGGTTCAAGTCTTGGACCCAGTGGCTTAAAACTCATGCCGGGTACATGTGCGTGCATGCCCAAAATCCCAAGTAGAGAACGGAGGAGAAGGGATTGCAGTGTGGTCATCCCCCTGGGGGATGATTTCTCACTTTTTGTCTCCTTCTCTGTCTCTCCAGCAAGCCCACGTGCTCTATTGGAAAAAAAAAAATATGTCTAAAAAAAATTTCCAGGGGGTATGAGCACTTCTAGGCAAGAGACAGAGAGGGAAAGCAAGGAAACAACCCCCACGGGCCATGGCTATGCCATAATCCCATCTCCTCCATTTGTCCCTCACTTTGGGATTTGGGGAGTACATGTGCACATGTCTGGTGTGTTTTTCAAGCCTCTGGGCCCAGGAACCAAACTGTGCCATTGGCCATGTGGGATCCAGCTCACATACCCATTAGGCCATGGCCTGGCCCGGTTTTGTTTCTGAATTTTGTTATTTTTTAGAGGATTTTGCCTGAAGGTGCAAGAATGGGGGTGGGCTGGGGAGAGACAGAGGTAGTGAGAGGGAAAGTGAGATATCACCCTTCAGAGGGGATGGCCATGCTGAAATCACTTCTCCATTCTCTTCTCGGGATCTTGGGCATACATGCACACATGCCCAGTGTGATTTTCAAGCCTCCGGGCCTGGGACTCAAACTGTGGTCGGCCATGTAATGTAACCACTATGTCATCTACTGGCCCTTTGTTTTTTAAATTTTTGTAAAAAATTTAAATTGATTTTCACAAATTTATAAAATTGTTTAAGTTGTGAAATATTGGGTCATTGGAAAAGTCAGGATGCCTTTTTGCATAGAAAAACATAGAAAAGATACATCATGACTTTTCTGATGACCTAGTATATGAACTAAAAATAACGCAGCACTTTAATGTGCAATTTAACAAATAATTATGAAGCAAATACCCACTGAGATGAGGGCAGCGACCATTGCCACCGCTGCGGAAACTGCGTATGTCGGGATCTTGATGCTGTCCCTCCCCCGCGGTACCCAGTCGTCTGCCTTCATGACAGCATGTCCTTGTGTCCCTGTGGCTTTATCATTTATGTATGTTTCCCTAAATAACGTGTTTGGTTTGGCCTCTTTTTTCAACGTTATCTAATGAAATCGTACTGCATATATTCTTTTGGGTTTTGCTTCTTCTTTGGCTTCCCATTATTTATAAGATCCATCCAAATGTTATGTGTAGTTGGTGTTTGTTTCATTATCATTCCTCGGGCACTTTGCTTGAAGTCAGGTACTTAAAAGCTGTGCTATAAATACACATCCATGAGGACAAGTCCTGCCGGGTAATCCAGAGCTTATGGATCTTTCTGGGCTGGGCTGGGCAGAGTGATGGGCGGGGTGAGAGGCTTGGGTAAGAGAGACCCTGGGGAATGACAGCCAGGAAGGGAGTCACTTAGCTCAAGCGTGTGATGAATGTGGAGCAGGGATGGCCCTGACCTCCCTGGGGCTCAAGTGACCAAATCTCTTGGCATGTGGCTGTCAGGATGCCTGCTGGGCCTGACAGCAGGGACCTTCCTGTGAGGCGTGAACAGGACAGATGGGGGCGTGTGGGGGCTGGGAGGGCCCAGGAGCTTAATGTGGAGGGGCAGAGAGCTTGGGGGGAGGGGAGGTCTGTAGAGGGCCCAGGCGTGTGGTTGGACTTCCTGCCTGGGTGTTGCTCTCATGGTGAGGGTTGAGGGGGAAGGTGGCAGCAGCAGTTCCGTATAGGACAGGGGTGTCTGTCTTTCTGTTTCCATCGGTGCCTGAGGGGGCGTTTGGGTTCTCAGGGGGAGGGGGAGGGCCCGGGTTTGGTAAACTGCTCCTCCTGCCTGCACCATCCCGCAGGCCTCTGTGAATGTGCACTTAGCCCCAGCCTTCGTTTGTTTTCAGCCCCTGGATCTCTGTAACCCTGCCCGGACCCTCCTGTTATCCGAAGAACTGCTGCTGTACGAGGGGAGGAACAAGGCTGCCCAGGTGAGACCTACGCCCCGTTTCCCAGCTGAGCTTTTCTGGTGGGCTTTGTTGGCTCTGCTCCAGGCCCTTCACTCTTCTCTTTCTGAAAAGTCTTTGAGACCCACCCCCATGTTCTTTGCCAAGTAGCTACCCAGCATTTTCTTGTACCTTTCCAAAGCTCAACCATCTCTCAGAGTTGTTGAGTTCTTGATTCCGTCTTTGATAGTTAGACCATTTCTCAGGACCAGCAGTTAGTGTAATGGCTATGTCAATGAACTCCTACGTAGTCAACCACTGTTTGAGTCCCAGAGCTGGTGGCTTAAACTCATGCTGGGCGTGTGTGCATGCGTGCCCAAGATTCCGAGAGGCGATTGGAGGAGAAGGGATTGTGGCATGGCCATACCCCTGGGGGAGTGATTTCTCGCTTTCTGTCTCTCCATCTCTCTCTGTCTTTCTGGCGAGTGCACACGCCCTATAGCAAAAACCTCTCAAAAAAAAAAAAAAAGTTTCTCCAGGCCCTAAATATACCTCAGTGTTGATCCCATCTTCCTTCAAGGAGAAGAGATGTCAGTTCATCCCAGCTGTGATGAGTGACTGTGGGAGAGAAGATTAAATCTGCCAGCGCAAGGGAGTTTTAGGAGCATCAATTACTCGGGTTTTCTGGGTCTGTATTATCCCAAATCCTCTTCTGAGAGATCAGCCTGATTTCTCCTAGATGCTGGCTCTGTCAACATGGCCTTGGTGGTGGGGGCTGTGCCACTTCCAGATAAACTGTCCCCTGCTTATCTGTAACTGGGAGAACTTTACTCACACACAATCCCCAGAACTGGTCAGGTCCCTGCTCAGTCCCTGGACTTGAAGGTACTTGGGAATGGAAGTTGGAGCCCTGGGATAGCTGGGCTACTTGGAGGCCAGAAGGTGAGGGTAGGTGGTGCAGCAGATCAGGACTTGAGGCAGAGCTGGCTTAGCTGAGTCGAGGGACAGCTTGGGGTCACAGAAGAGTCAGAAAACCTGGAGGCAGGAAGCCTACATCCAACCTTAGCTGTGCCTCTGGCTCTCTTGCGACTGCTCCCCTCTTCCTCAACCTTCCCATCTGAACAGTGAGTCTATGTGTGTCTGAGAATGCAAGGGCAGGGGCTGAGGTCGGCTGGTCTCTAAGGGTCCTTCAGTGTGGCATTCTGGAACACTATATCGTGGCTAAAGCAGGAGATGGGTTTTGTTTGTTTTTTGAACAAGCAGACCCACACTTGGATATTCTAAATGATTATTATCTTTTCCTAGGAAGTTCCCCCGGGATACCTATTACTACCATACACGAATGCTCACTTCATTTCTGGGCCTCCTCTTTGGGAATTTTCTTAAGAATCCCAGCATGTCTGAATTGCCTCAGTGGGAGTAAAGGTCATCCGTGGAGTAGGATTTAAATGGTAGGAATGAGAAGTCCTGAGGCCGTTGTCTGGTGAATAAGTATGTGGTGGAACTAAGCTGGTGTCCAAGGGTCAGGGAGTGAGGTGTGGCTACGCATTCACCCGATGTAAAAGAAGGCAGTTAGAAATGGCAGCCACCCTGAGATAAAGAAAAATGGGAAGAGCGAGAGAAAGGAATAAAGAGAGGGGGATTTGCTCTTCTGCTTGTTACGCACTGTCATATCTGCAGACACTGAGCACTCACCGCATACCCCACTGCACATGCGTTTTACATGCTTGTTCCCAGTTCGCTCTTACAACACCCCCAGGAAAAGCATGATTGTCCCTGCTCCACGTGAGGAAACTGAGGCTCCAGTGAGATTACCCGGGACACGGGGATCTCAGGGATGGAGGCTTGATTTACACTTGGATCTGTCTGGCTGTGCTGTATTTCCCACCACCCCGTGCTGCCTCTGGCAATTCCATTTAAAAACAAACAGTGAGGAGTGCTTTCTTGCTTTCTGTCTGTCTCTGTCTCTCCAGTGAGTGCATACACCCTATAGCAAAAGTCTCTCTTAAAATAAAATAAATAAACAAACAAACTAAAACAAACACGGGATGAGCCATAGCCTGATTACAGTTATAGTGGGACCTAAGAAGTCTGTCTCGTGGATCTTTGGAAGCAGAGAATCAAGAGAAATCCACTCCCCCCCCACCCCTTGAAGGAAGTGATATGAAGATAAGTAAAAGAACGGTATTCCTTTTTCTTGAAGTAAGCTGAGATCTTGGTACCCAGATCTCCGGCCTGTTACTCAGGCCAGAATTAGAAACCAGTTCAAGAGGATTTGGACACATTCATAGACCTTTAGTGTCGGTTGGGCCCTCCATACCATTCCTTCTCTGTCACTTTCCAGTTAATGGTTTTCTGGCCAGTTTTTGAATGGCAGGGGCAGTCCCTCTGAGCAGTGGTTTTGTTCTTGGAGGGGCTAAGCTGAGAAAGTTCTTCCTCACACTCAGCAGGCATCTTTATTTCTGGGATGTTCCCCTTGGCTCTTAGTCCTGTCGGTCTCTTCTCCAGGCATGCTTCGTCTGTAATATCCGGGAGCTGGCTCGGGCCCACACATGAACTGCCCTCATCACATCCCCTGCCAGAAGTCACAGCCTTGATTAATGTGCCCTGAGATCAGACCAGAATCTGGGAGCAGCTGCATTCATATATTCAGTTATTGAACCTCTGCAATGAAGCTGGCCCCGTGCTCTGTCCCAGGAATACTATGAAGCATACAACAGACACACCCTCTTTTTCCACACTGACTCACTGAGTTTACCATTAACTAAGGCACCAAGGTCTTTTCTGCAAACCCTACCCTGAGGCCAGACTCCCAAGAGGAAGTTCAGTTAGAGCCTCTTGGAAGAAGTCATCCTCCAAGTTGTAAGGGATCCCCTAATTAACGTTTGACCCTCTGGGCAAACAGATGTGTCCTGGGAGCCAGTGTGGGAAGACACCTGACCGTCCCCCATGGCCTGTCGTGGAGGGCAGCAGGTAACTGCGTCATGGCCGTGGGCGCCCGATCTGTGGCTCTTGCTGTAGCAAGGCCAGCAGGTTGCTGGTGAAGTGGGAGGGGGGCCGCCTGCCTCCCCTGGCACGCTTGACCCTCTGCCCTGCCTCCGGCTGTATGCCAGCTTTGTCCTTTCCCTGACCCGACCTTTGGGGAAATTCTTCATTCATGCCTTAATCACTTCCTGTCTAGACCATATTCTCCATTCTGGGACTCGGCCAGAGCAGTGGCCAGGGGCTTTTCTCACCTCGCTCAGGGCTCCTGCCCTCTGCCCTCCATCCTGGCCTCTCTAGGCCTTGGCCTTGTGTTTTTTTTTCTTTCTAGACTCCTGATGGGTTGTCCCCTCCACCCCTTCTCCTACTGACTTCCCTGTGGGTCTGTGACACCTGCTAGATTTCCCTTGAGTTGGGAACATGAGGATTCACTGTGTTTCTGGATAGCTCAGAGCTTCTCCATCACTCTTCTCAGGTACCCAAGCTCTCAAATCCTCCTCAACTCTTGGGTCGTTTTCTTCTCCTCCCTTAACTTTGTTTTGGTCTCCTTCGCTCCTCTTTCTGGGTCCTTGTTTGAATATTTTCACGTTCGAGGACAGGACAGCTGTAGACATATCACTTCCTGTCTGTATAGTGAGAGCTTTAGGGTCAGCCAGACCTGTCCCTGGCCCTGTGACCGTGGACAGGCCACATAAGCTCTCTGAACTATACATGAGGGCAATGGCATTGTTTATAAGTGAGGATCCACTGAACAGAAAGTAAGTGTTGGACACACAGAGGCTTGTGTTGGGCCATATGGAGACAGAGCTGTGGTGGGAAGGACTTTGCATAGGGTCACCGCCAAGGCCCTTCCAACCCAGGGTTCTGTAGTCTTCACATGCGGGACTCCCTGGACATGCCAGAGCCCTTGAGAACCTCCTACTCGAGGATGTCCCCCTACTGTCCCTGAAACCTGGACTCCCTCAACCTATGTGTGTGACACTCAAGAAGCCAGGTGGCCCTTTGACTGTATAGGATGTGTTGTTAACGATCAAAATACCAGTCTCATTGCGAAACAATGCAAATTAAACAGAAATGTACAAAGTAAAATTCCATTCCCCGGAGTGAGGTGTGTGGTTGAGTATCATAGATATTTTAAAAGGTATAAATATAGAAAGAGTTATATTTGCTGTTTTACAAAATTGGATTATACTCTATGTATTTTTGCGCATTGCACTATTTGGATTCATGATAGACAGATTTCTATTTCCGTCCGTGTAGCTCCATTTTACTTTGCTAACAGTAGCATAATATTCTACCATGAAGGTGGTTTAATTTCTTTTATCCATTCTGTCTCTCGCTCGCTCTCTTTTTAAAAAGAATTTGCCATAGGGTGTGTGTGCTTGGCGGGCATGGTCATGCCACAATCTCTTCTTTTCCACTTCTCCCTCCTTTTGGGACTTTGGCTTGTAGGCAGTCCATCACAAGTCCCAGGTCTGGGGCTGGAACCACACTGTCAGTCATGTGGGATGCAGCACGTTAACCACCAGGCCAAGGGCTGGCTCGATCTATCTTGATAGGTGTTTATGTTATTTTCTTTTTTTAAACTACAGAAATGCTGCTGAAATGTCCGTGTATGTTCATTTTTTGTTTGTCCATGTGAGGATTTCTGGAGCATAGACTTCGGTGTGGCGTTAACGGTTCATCTTTAGCAGTTCGATGGCTAAATGTCACTACGTCGACTTTTAAACTTTGGCCACAATCCAGTACATGCTGTGTCCCCTCCTTAGGTGTCAAGCCCTTCTGGCTGATTCTCCTTACTTCAGAAGAGTCCAAGTGTCAGGTTTTGACACTTCCGAGGGACGTTCACGAAATTAATAATATTTCGTTTGCTTTGGAGAATCTAAAATTGGATTCCATTGCTTTTGACTAAAGGCCCCTGCAGGATTTACTAAACAAAGAACAGTGTAATCTGTAGAGGCATTAAAGGATTAAGGGGATTTTCTAGCATAAAAATATGCTGAGCATGCCTGTCAGTTTACCTAGAATATCTAAAAATAGCTTTCTCTTTTATTTTTGGAGTAGCTAGTGTCTAAAAGACAGAAAAGTTATGTGCATGTCTGTATTGGAGCGTAAGTAACTGACTTTTTCTCGAGCTGATTTCTCATTAATGCAGTTAAAACGATCTGCTAGTAATTTGGTAATCTTACCTCACAGCGCATGATGCTTGGTTCCATCTAGAAAGAGCTTGTGAAAGATGCCTGTGAGGGAGCCAGGCAGGGACTCTTTCCCAGGGTCTGTACTGATGAGAACACGGAGGCTGAGTGGGTTAAGGGAACTTAATTCTTGTGTGGCTAGACAATGAGGCAGGGGCCTCATCTAGTGCCCTTTCAGTCAGATACTTACAGTTAAATAAGAGCACATATGGGACATCACACAGTTCAAGGGTAGCTCCAGCCTCCAGCCAAGGGTGTTGTACTGGAGACCCTGGGGCATTTGGTCAGGTAGCCAGGGAGGCCTGCTGGGGTGTCAGGCTGCAGAGAGGCTTGCAGAGGCCATCTGCCGTGCAGGGTGAGACCCGCTTTTTCCTTCTGTTTGCTTTTTCCTACTTTGAGGTGTGGCTGATTAGGGAACTGGAGGTTGAAGAGGCCTTATTTTTTTTATTTATTTATTTTTTTGGAGAGGTTTTTTGCTATAGGGCTCGTGAGTTGCCACAGACAGAGAGAGACAGAAAGCGAGAGATCACTCCCCGGGGAGGATGGCCATGCTGTAATCCCTTTTCCTCCATTCTCCTCTCGGGATCTTGGGCACGAATGCACATGTGCCTGGTGTGAGTTTTAAGCCACCAGGTCCAGGACTCGAACTGCAGTTGACTACATGGGAGTCCAGCAACATAGCCATTATGCTAACTGCTGGGCCCAAGAGGCCTTCTTGACTGCAAGTCAGGCTCCTGCTCTTGGCTGAAGCCACTGAGAGTTGGTCCAGATTCTGCCTCAGATGACGGAGATGTGGTCCTTGGACCTGCAGGGGAGGCTGTGGCTCCCAGGCTGCAAGGGCCAGCAGTGCAGCCAATTCTGTTTGCTCTCCCGATGCAGGTGACACTGTTTGCCTACTCAGACCTGCTGCTCTTCACCAAGGAGGACGAGCCTGGCCGTTGCAACGTCCTGAGGAACCCCCTCTACCTCCAGAGTGTGAAGCTGCAGGAAGGTAGGCCAGTTCCCCAGATGCCCCGGCCTCCCACTTGCCTGGTGTCCCACTGCTTGGCAGTGTGGAGTCCCAGTTTGGGTACCTCTCTGGGATCCGGGCAGCACCATCATGGGGCAGTTGAGTGTGTGCTGTTGGGCTCTGTCCCTGGACTAGGAGGCTCTCACACACTGGCCTTCCACTCCAGGTTGGCAGACCTTGAGATGTACCCTGAGCTTCCTGGGGAGACTGTTGAGTAGGGTGGGAAGAGCTCTGGTCTCCAGCAGACCTGTGTCTAAACCTTGGCTCTTGGGCCTTATTAATAGAGAGACCCTGGATTAGTTCCTCAGCCTCTCTGAGCCCATTTCCTCATGTGTAGTTGGGGATAACAGCAGTATCTCAGAGGCTGTCATGAAGATGAAATTAGGTCACATATGCAAAGTGCCTGGCCCACAACAGGTGCCCTATGAAGGCTAGTTGTCACCCCGCTCACCTCACATATCCATGAACAGAGAGGCCACTACCCCGTCTCCTCCTGTGTCACGGCCCTGGCCAGTGCCAAGGCAGCTGGGGGTGGCAAGCAAAAGCAAATTTCTTTTCCTTTTTTTTTTTTTTTTAAATAATAATATTGTCAGAGAGAGTGTGTGCTCACCAGTGAGAAATAGAGAGATGGGGGTAGAGGGAGTGAGAAACCACCCCTGGGGAGTGGCCATGCTGGAATTCTTTAACCTCCATTTCTCCTCTTGGGATTCTGGGCACACCTACGTGCTAGGCATGTTTTTCAAGCGTCTGGGTCCAGGACTTGAACCACCAAGTTAGCCATGTGGGACCCAGTCACCTTAATCAGCACACCATGGGCTGGCCCAAGGGTGAATTTCTAACCTAAACTTTCCATCGTGCCCTCCTCCCCTGGCGGAGCAACGGGAAGCCAGCTGGGAGTATCTGTTGAGCGGTTTGGTTTGGCGCCTGAGGTCTCCGCTGCAAGGGGCTCGATTTCCTCTCCCAGATTATGAAAACAACAACAGACCTGTTGGAGCATGGGTGACAGGGGCAGGGAGGAAAATATTAGCCTGTGAAAGAATTCTGTTTTGGCGAGTTTTGCTCCAGGAAAACTTCCTGACTGTTTGCAAACCCATCCTGTGAGCTTGGTGCCCGGGCAGTTCTTCCTCCTTGGAAACCCTGTCAGTGTGAGAACCTCCACTCTTGCCCCCCCACAGGAAGTCACTTACAACTCTCCTGCTCTGACTTTCTCCTGCCCCAAAGCAGGGCATTCCCTGGGGGAAAGAGCAAGTCACTCCCCCTAGGACGGGCTCAGTCTGACCCCGGAGCCGTGCAGAGGGGCAGTGCTCTCAACTTCACCTCAGACCCTGGCCTCCTGGGAGCACCCCTGTGCCCATTGGAGGGGAGCAGGTTAAAGTTCCAGGCCCCAGCCCCCGCCTCCTTGGAAATTCTCCTTGTACCCCTGTTCTCCCACGGGAAGGCAGCACACTCACACACGTGCAGTAACTGAAAGGTCCCTTCTCTGTTTCCCTCTCCCTATGAGGGGTGCTCAGTAATTCACACTAATCGATTATAAGAATGAAACCCTTACCCTCTCGTGTACTTGACAGAGCTGGGCCACAGGCCTGGGACCTGCGTCTGCTCAGTTTCCTGCAGAAAGGATGGAGGGGAAGGGGGCCTCAAACTGGCTGCGCTTTGGGCAGAGGTTGGAGGAGAGAGGGCTGTGGAAGAGCAGAGGGCAGTAGCTGGGGGTCTGGGTCTGTGCGGCTTCAGCTGGCCCTTCCCCTCTCTGGCCTTTAAGGTCTCCAACCACAGTAGGGCTGGGCCAGCCCTCTGCTTTCCCTCCCAGCTCTGACACCCCTGGACAGGCCCCCAAGGGTGCTAAGAAGCTAGATAGTTCCTTACTGTCCTGCCTTTACTTCTCAGGGGTCCTGGACTAGGAATTGACTGGGTTATTTTCTTCTGGAGCTCCCAGACCCAAGACCTGAAGTCGGGCCGGGGGAGCTCTGAGCTCCATCCTCCACCCATGGTGGTGGTTGAGCAGGAATTGTGGCTCCCAGACCCAAGACCTGAAGTCAGGGGCCGGGGGAGCTCTGAGCTCCATCTTCCACCCATGGTGGTGGTTGAGCAGGAATTGTGGAGCCAGAGAAATAAGACTCTTCTAATGCTGAGCTGTGCATGAGCAGCAGCCTTGGCAGGCATGGCTTTCTTGGGCTGGAGACCAGTTCCTGTCCCTGCAGATGCCAGGCAAGCTAGATAAGGGCCGAGGTAGCCAAGACAGCGCTTCTCAAGAGAGCTGACTACGGCTGCCATTAGAGCCCATTGGGAAAGGGGTCTATGTGCATGTGTGCGTGCATGTGTACATACTTGTGTGTGTGTGTGTGCATGTGCATCTGTGCATCTGTGCACCTGCCCTGGATTTATTGGACAGATGGTTTAGGGCAGACCTCCAAGGGGCCTGATTGCTGCTGAGAGTGAAGGAAATGGCTCCATAACACTGAGCACTCAGGGTGCACATTCCGGCGCTCCAGTGTCTTGCCAGGCATCAGCAGAGCCCTCACTTCTCGCCGTCACCACCCCTTCTCCCCTGAGAATGGCTCGCGAGCCCAGAGGGTCACGGAAGTCCAGTGACCCCTTCTCTTGCAGTCCGAGCTAAGCCACAGGACCCGATGTTCCGAGTCCTGGCATCCGGTTTCCTGCCCGCCTCCCCTGTGCCCCCAGAGACCCGCTGCTGCAAGGGCCTGAGTGAGGCTTTTAAGAGATGCATCTGGGGCCTCAGCTGGAGCCTCTGTTGGCAGAACAGCCTCTGATTAACACTGCTCACTATGCCTGGGTCTTGTGCTTGTCTCTTTCAAATCAACATGTGTGTAGAGTTCAGGTTGGGGAGAGGAGATGGTAAACAAGAAAGACACTGAGCCTTTCTGGCCGATGGGGCCGAGGACTACTCCATGGAAGGGGGGGACTCTGCCCCATCCTAGGGACCAAGGACTCCCTTATGTGACTTGTCTGAAGAGTCCTTAGCTCTGTCAGCCAAGCATGGGCCATCATGGTCGCTTGGTGAATGTTGGGTGAATGAATGAATGACTATAAGGGGAGCTGGGAGGTGAGGATGCCTTCCTCCAGGGCTCAGGGCTGGTGCCTGCTTAAATCCTCCTTCCCCCTACTACTCAGCTCCTCCCAAGCTTCAGCAGGGGCTGAATGGCAGTGTAATGGGAACAGGCGGAGAACTGGCGCTAACAATTGGGACATCTCCGGTCAGCCGGGGCCCCATTGTGGTCTCTTCCTGTCTCTGCCTCCTGCTGGTTTTGCTACTCTTTGTGTTTCTGCCTCCCAGGCGGCCGGCATCACGCCCCCAGTGTGTCTTCCTGGCCTGCTCTGTTCTCTCAAACAGCCTGGAAATATCTAGCTGATTCTTGGGCTCTCCATCCAGCCTGCGGAGCCAGGCGCCCAGTCTCTGAAATCTGCTTCTTAGGTCTCAGCTGCTGGATTGCTTGGAGTTCAGTCTTAGCCGGTATTTTCTGAGAAGGTCCTCGGAGCCCATCTCCACGCTGGCTGCTGTGGAAGAGACCATGTCCCTCTGGAGCTCAGAGCCTGGTGGGATGACACACAAGTAAACTATGGAGGAAGCGAAGTGTGGTGTAGTGGTCAGGGATGCAGAATTTGAAGACGGGCCATCCAGGGTTCGATCCACGTACTCACTCTGTGCCTCATGCAAGTTGTTTCCTTCCCTGGACCTCAGTCTTTGTATCTAGAGAATGATGACAGCAACCCTCCCGGCTTGCCTCAGTGGGCGGAGAGGGCCTGGTGAATGGTTAGGTGTAGGATCTCAGACTAGGTGTTAGTGGGCCACAGGAAATGATGGGGGATTCGAACCTGGGCCAAGAAGTCATCTCTGGTCTGTAGCCCCCCTATACGGGCCACACATTTCTTGGGGGAAAGTGAGGCCCACTCTAGAACCAAATGGTTCCTGAGTTTTGAAATGACAGTGGCAGCTGGGAACCCCACATGCATGCTGCCTCGGTGGCCCTGCTGGACTGCACTAGATCCCAGTTCTGATGTTCCAGAAGGGGCTGAGGTTACCCTCCTGGGTCAGCCCCCTGTAGCCTGCCTTCCCGCAGCTGCAGCTCCTCCTTGGCACCCTTGGCTTCCTGGGATTGTTGTCTTGTGCAGCTCCGAACCATGCTGAGCACTGCCCCCATTCCTGCCTTCTCGCCAAGTGCCGCCAGCGCTTGGCTGTGGCGTGGAGCCGACTTCAGTGAGAATGTGCAGCCAACGCAGGGAGGTCAGGCCCATGGCGAGGGGGCGTGCTACAGCACAGAACACGGCTGAGGCCCTCCATCAACCATCCCCTGCTGCAGAGATGCGTCTTAGGGTGTGTCCCTCCACCTTGGCCTCTTGTTTCCTGGAGGCTCTCTTCTCTTGGCACTTTCCTCCCTTCTAGAGCTTTCTCTTTTCTCACACCAGCTTCCCAAACCTGAATTTCAGTTATTTTCTCTCATCCATCTCTGTGGCTCTTCCCTAGCACTAGGGTCTGTTTCTGAAAAGTCATACCCCAGTGTTTTCTTAAACAAAAAGAAACCACCTCCTCTTGTTCCCACCCTCAGTAACACCAGGAACCAGCAGAAGCTTTGCAATTCTGGTTTTGGGAAACATGGTGGACCTTCTGGGCAGGGCTCCCTCTCTCCCTGACCCATTCCAGGTGGAACAAGTAGAAGGTTTTCTTACTAAGTCCAGAGTGAACCCCATTTACTTAGGGGCTATCCTTCTTTGGCTCTGGCTGGCAGACCCTGGCCCTAGGAATATTTTTGTGCAGGCAATTGCTTATGCTTGCTTCAGGAGGGCCTCGCCTTCACCCATGGCAGGGCCCTGACTCACTGCTTTTCCTAGGATTTGGCTTGACCCACAGTCTATTTTTATCCTGATGCCTTTTCTTCATGACAAGTTTTGGGTTCTTTGACAGCTTCTCTGATTCAAACAAATGCGGGGTCACTTTGAGCACAGCACTGGGGCTGCTGCCTTGACAGGACAAAGGGCCTGGGTGGGACCTGTGTGCCGGATGGACACTTGAGCAGTGGGACACAGAGAGGGTCAGAGTGTAGGCTCTGGAGCCAGGCTATCCAGGTTTAAATCCTGACTCTCTTCCTCACCACCTGGAGCAAGTGATGTAATCCATCTGTGCCTCTGTTTTCCCCTCTGAGTCCTGGCTGATAATAATCCTTGCCTCCTAAGGTGGCAGTGAGAGTTGAACTTATGCACGGAAGCATTTGAACGTGCTTGGCACGTAGCACGATGCTCCTCCACAATCCTATGGAACTTCATGAGTTCAATATTCTCTATGCTGTATAGTTGATTCCCTCAAACATGACAGCTGGGCCAGCCAGTGGCATGGTGGTGAAAGGAGCTGGATCCCACATGGCCAAGAACATGGTTCAAGTCCCAGACCTGACAGCTTGAAAAACATTCTGGTTGCATGTACATGCGTGCCCAAAATCCTGAAAGGAGAAATGGAGGAGAACGGATTGTGGCATGGCCATCTCTCATGGGGGGCGCTTTCCTTGCCTTTTCTCTTTCTCTTTTTCTTTCTCTTTCTTTTTATTTTTCCCTCTCTCTCTGTCTCCAGTAAGTACACATGCCCTCTAACAAATTAAAAAAAAAAAAAAAAAGATAGCCTGAAGCCTAGGCATTGACTCAGTGGTAACCTGAGTGCCTTTGCCTGTGCTGTTCCCACCTCCCGGAGTGGCCTTTCTTCCCATGCTGAGTTCTATTATGGCTCAAAAGGGTCCTCCTCCAGGAAGCCTTCCCCAACAGCCAGTCCTTGTACTTAGAGGCACTCTGCGCAAATGTTGATTGTGTTAGGGGAGGTCTTGTACCTCAGCTCCTGGAGGATGGTCTCTTCCAGCTACTCCTGGGGGAGAGGGCTCGGTGAATGGTTGAGTTTGGGATCCTGGGCCAGGGGTGAGGAAGATCTAGGAAGACACACAGAGGGCTTAGGCTCAGGGTAGGAAGCCATCTCTGGGCTCCAACCAGGTCATGATTGGGGATTGCCCCTTTGTGGCCCACACATTTCCTGGTTGGAAACACAACCTAGGAATTAAGTGGCCCTTGTCGAATTTCAAAATGGCGGAAGCAGTTGGAGTATTCAAAGTAAAACCCAAAGGTGTGCAGCCTCCACGTCCCTTACTGGGGAGATCTTGAAGAGGAAGAGGCTCCTGGGATAGATGACAGTTCCCTGCTGTTGGAGGCCCAGAGGGTGCGCCTGGCTCCTTCTCCTGGGAACGAGATCTTAGCATTCCTTGGGCCAGGCTGACCTGCGGGCAATGGCTTTCTAGCCATGATCACCCTGGTTGGTTATTTAGTGGGCTTTGTTCCAGAGATTTCTCTGTTCCTCTGCATCTGCCTCTTTTTCCCTTTGTCCAGCAAGCACCACACACAGCCTTCTGGAGAGACAGCTGCTACGCCCCAGCAAACTGCTGGGAGTCTTTAACCAACTCTAATGCAAATCTTACTCTCTGCTCTCTCAAAGGTTCTTCAGAAGACCTGAAATTCTGCGTGCTGTATCTAGCAGAGGTGAGTCCTTCTTCTCTCCTTGAGGAGAGAGCTCTGTGATTGAGTACTTGGGGGAAGATGCTGGGCTGGGTTCTAGACCAGGGTTCTGGTGCCAGCCTCCACATAGACTCACACAGTGGTCCTGGGCAAATCTGGAAGGGCAGTTTGTTCTGTAGAATGGGAGTATCAGTCCCTGCTTCTGCATGTCACCATGATTTTTTTTAAAGATTGGTTTGTTTGTTTGTTTGTTTCTGACATAGGGCCTGTGCACTCACCAGAGAGACAGTGAAGGGGGAAGTGAGAAATCACACCCTGTGGTAGATGACTATACCACAATTCCTTCTCTCTTGAAAGAGAGTCTATACTGGCCATACTCTGCAAGTGCGGCCTGGTCTGTAGGGGGTGACCAAGAGGAATACACCTTTTTGAGAAGGAATTTGTGTCTGAAAAATTATTCTTTTGGTCTCTGGCTAAGATAAGAGGTTCAAGGCCTCATGGATAGACTCTGGGGGGAAAGAAACCTTCAGGAGAGAACAGGGAATTCTAAAGAGGCAGTGCACATTGTCATAACTGATCTGGGGACCTGGCTGCCTGCCGTGCAGACCTGAGGGCCACAAGGGCATTGGATGTCCCCCTACCCCCACCCCATGTCAGCCACATCCCTCCCAGGGCACAAGAAATGGCTGGTGGGACCACTTCAGTGCTGAGCGTGGTCATTTCCAGGGTGCCCCGTGAGCAGAGTGTGGTTGGGGAAGTTGGGAGCCAGGCCAGGCTCCTCCACCAGCCCCTCCACTCTGGATTCTGGTTTTCTCGAGCACTCCTGAAGTGAGTCTCTAAGTTCTGTAATATCTAAAGAGCTTCCTGCCAGGCTGGGTTTGTATTTCCCAGAGATGAGCACTTTCACTCCATTGGCTTTCAGGGGTCTGTGACCTCTAAGCCTTCCAAAGATCATCGAAGAGATATTGATTTGGGGTCTTTTATTTCAGTAAAGTGCTAGGTGATCTGACCTCAAGGGGCTGAGGAATTGAAGCTCAAAGGCTTCTAGAAGCCTCCCTGTTCTCTTAATGGGTTGTTATTTAGGAGAGGCACATCTGTAATCAGGGAAGCCAAGTCACCTCCCTGCTCCATAACCCAAGACATTCTTGACACCGGCGATTTCAGATCCCATGGAGCGTCCCAAACTCACCTCTTAGCTGGAACTTTCAGCAAATGATTTCTCATCATTGCCTGATGTGCAGTTGGCACCCAGAGAAGGAACTAGGGGAAAGAGCGTCAGCATTTGGAAGGGCTTTTCGACTCTCCATTGAGAAACCCCCAATTGCCCGGGTGCTAGCAGCTCTGATTATTCCCCAGCTGTGAGGTCCTGGGTGGGGCTGACCTGAGCTGTCCATGTCTCTGGGTCTCCACAGGTGCCCCTCAGCCCCTCCACACCCATGGCACAGAGCAGCCCACGGCTGGCTTTGGAGTACACGGGGCATCGAGGCAATGGGCACACGGGCCAGGGACCCTTCTCTGATCCACGATCTGATGCTGGTTCCATTGATTGAAGAGTCTGGGCTCTGGGGTTAGACAGACCTGGATGTGAGTCTTGACTCTGCCATTTCCTGAGTGATCAGGGGAGACTAACAGATTCACCTCTGAAACTAGCCTGATGAGGCCTGCTTCAAGGGGTTGTAATGATTAAATGGGATCAGATAAGACCCTGCCTCCCAGGCACTTAGCACAGAGCCTGGCACATGGTGAGTTCTCAATAAATGGTCCCTCTCATTATTGTCAGCTTCATAACAAGGGGAAGAGCTTTTCATATTCATTTATTCTCCATTAGAGACATCGCAAATGATGTATTGATCTTTTAAAAAGAAAGCTAAGAGGACTAGTTTGCATTCTTCGCAATTTACACGGGGGTATACAAACAGGGCAAGACCGTGAGCTCCAGAGGAGGCAGAAGGCAAATGTGAATCCTCCTCTCCTGAGATCGCCTCTGGCCAGTGGCTCAACCTCTCTGAGTCTGAGTTGAATTTTCTAGTCTGAAAAATGGCAACAGTTGTGCCTCTCCTTCTACCTGTGAGATGGCCATTAGGAGAATTGAATGAATGTTTTGAGACTGTTTCTCAAAAAAGGTGAGGAGACGTCAATCATAGCTGAAGAGGTTTTGTTTATTTATATAGATACAATTAGTTCAGGGACAAGGAGGGAAACAGGCTAGGGGTGTGGGAGAGGCCAAGAGGAGCTAGGAGTCTAACTGGTTGTGAAGATGCTCACTTTTTTGCATTTTGTTTTATCTTTAAATAATCCATTTTTATTTTTAATTTATGTTTTTTAAGAATGACTTATTTCATTTTATTTATCATTATTAGTAGTAGTATTTTTTAATTTGGCCAGAGAGAGACAGAGAGAGAGAGAGAGTGAGTGAGAAAGTGAGGCACCAGTTTTGAGACTTGAACCATGGCTGGCCATGTGGGAGTCCAATTCCTTAACTACCACACCACCTTCCGTCCCCAAGGATGCCCACGCTTAATGTAGAGGTCTGAACCTGGTGCTGCAGGATTGGGCCTATGAGCTGAGAGCTCTGTGCCTGACCGAACACCTGCAAGTGTCGCTGGCTGTCACTTAGCCCCGCCTCTGAGTGAGTTACATGGGGGTGCCTTCAGGGCAGCTTACTGCCTTGACCCTGGGTTGAGGGCCCCGAGCGCATCAGTGTTGAAAAGGATGAGTAGGATCAGTTGGATCACATGCTGGATTAAGAGACATGGGTCACATGAGGCCCCTGATTTAGACAGGTTTCGGGTGATAGGAATTCAGCCTCTTTGGAAGAAGCTGACTTGCGCTGTCCTTCTTGGCCAGGTCAGTCTCCAATGCTCAGGCCTCCCCAAAGCATTTGCCCACCTAAGACAGCTAGTCCTCCCACTGGGGCCAGCCTTGGGCTTAGGTCCCTGGTGCCTTGGACGTCTTCTAGGTCCTCTAGCACTAGAGGGGCTTTAACTTCAGTTCTCTGAGCCAGAGACCAAGCCCCACTCTGCTGTTGACAGGCAATGTGGTCACCATCCCAGGCAGAGAAGCGGGGCTTTCCAAGGACATTCCCCAAGGGCAGGGGAGGGACAGTGGTTATTGAGGTGTCAGTAAAATGGGGATCATCACAGCTGCTACCTTATGAGGCACTGCTGGTCAAGTGCTTAGCACTCCGGGGCTGTCCCAGGATTCGGGGTAGGAGGCTTTCTCTGTGAGAGGGCCTCATAGCCTGGGGAGGCCTTCGCACACTTTTACAGGGAGAGGCCCCCTTTCCTGGAACTTAGAGCAGTGAACAGTCATATAAAGAGCTGCCAGTGAACCCCATAGCTGCTCTGAGACCCACCTGCCTTCTGAAGGCTATGCGGGACCAGCAGTTGGCATAATGGCTATGTCACTGGACTCCCACGTAGTCGACCGCGGTTTGAGTCCCAGACCTGGTGGCTTAAACTCACACTGGGCACATGTGCGCGCGTGCCCAAGATCCCGAGAGGAGAATGGAGGAGAAGGGATTTCTGCGTGGCCATCCCCCTGGGGGGTGATTTATCGCTTTCTGTCTCTCTGTCTTTCTCTGTCTTTCTGGCGAGCGCACGCGCCCTATAGCAAAAACCTCTCCAAAAAAAAAGAAAAGAAAAATGTAGGACTGGGAGGCTTGGGCCAGGGCCAGCTTTGTGGAGTGACAGCCTTTCTAAAGGACCATAGTTCCCCCTCTCCCTCCCCTTGCAGGGGGACCACAAGGAGACAGGGAGCACGGGGGAGTGGAGGGGTCCCTGGGGTCAGGGTGTGCCTGCCCAACCTGTTCCTCCAGGGGAATTCTAGGGTCTTGCTGGGGCGCCCTTCCCCTGCAGTGGCCTGGAGGTTCTGGGAAGCTGGAGGTCTGAAGCTGCAGGATTGCCTCAACACACCCATCCAGTTCCCTGAGGCCAGCAGGCAAGGCTTTCGTCCCGCCCCTCCAAGGCTTTTAGGGAGATCCGGATTCTGATTACTTTGGGGAGGAGAGGAATGGCTGGTACTCTGGGGACTCCTAGCATGGGAGGTGGCTCCTTCCTGACCAGTGGGGTGGCATCCCTGAGGACTGGGTTGGCTGACCGGGTAGCAAAGTCCCCAAATGCTACGAGATGATGATGAGAGCCAACCTCTGTGTAGGGTTTTTGCATCTGCTGTTTTTCATTTCTGGGACAGCTTCTGCCACACGCTTTCCTTCTGGCTATCCCTGTTCAGGCCTTAAGAGACCTTCTGTGACCACCTGACTCAAGTGTCACCTCTCCATTTATGACTTTGGTGACATTTTCACCATTTGTCACTCTACTATTTACCTGATTGTTTCCTTACTGTCCGTGCCCCTGAGCTGAGGAGCAGGACTTATTCTTACATATTGGCCTCTTTAGTTCCAGGACCTATGGTCCCTGAGCAGATGCTCAACAGGTATTTATTAAAGAAATGAACTGCTGGGGGACCAGCAGTTAACGTAATGGCTATGTTGCTGGACTCCCATGTAGTCGACCGCGGTTCAAGTCCTGGACCCAGTGACTTAAAACTCACGCTGGGTGCGTGTGCTTGTGTGCCCAAGATCCCGAGAGGAGAATGGAGGAGAAGGGGTTGTGGCATGGCCATGCCCCCTGGGGGGTGATTTCTTGCTTTCTGTCTCTGTCTCTCTCTGTCTGTCTGGCGAGCGCACACACCCTATAGCAAAAACCTCTTCAAAAAAAACCAAAATAATAAATAAAATTCCAGCAGTCAGGGAGAGTTTGTAATCCCCGATCAGCACACCTGGTGATGGGTCGGCACTCTGGGCATGCGGCCCACCCTGCCCTGACCCAGAGCCTTCTGTTTCGGAGGCGACTCCCTTGTCCCTGTGGCTCCCTGGTGCTTGCACCAAAGCTGATCTGGAGTTGACCTCATCCCGGAAGTGCCTCCGGTAAGCAGCCAGAGCTTACCGAGTGTACTCTCTCAGGACTGTGATCAATGGTCCCTGAGCAGATGCTCAACAGGTATTTATTAAAGAAATGAACTGCTGGGGGACCAGCAGTTAACGTAATGGCTATGTTGCTGGACTCCCATGTAGTCGACCGCGGTTCAAGTCCTGGACCCGGTGACTTAAAACTCACGCTGGGTGCGTGTGCTTGTGTGCCCAAGATCCCGAGAGGAGAATGGAGGAGAAGGGGTTGTGGCATGGCCATGCCCCCTGGGGGGTGATTTCTTGCTTTCTGTCTCTGTCTCTCTCTGTCTGTCTGGCGAGCGCACACACCCTATAGCAAAAACCTCTTCAAAAAAAACCAAAATAATAAATAAAATTCCAGCAGTCAGGGAGAGTTTGTAATCCCCGATCAGCACACCTGGTGATGGGTCGGCACTCTGGGCATGCGGCCCACCCTGCCCTGACCCAGAGCCTTCTGTTTCGGAGGCGACTCCCTTGTCCCTGTGGCTCCCTGGTGCTTGCACCAAAGCTGATCTGGAGTTGACCTCATCCCGGAAGTGCCTCCGGTAAGCAGCCAGAGCTTACCGAGTGTACTCTCTGAGCACTGTGCTAAGTAAGCCCAGATGCACAACGTCTTCTAGAAGGAAGTTAGCGTCTGGCTGGGGAGATGGGGCCGTGCCTCTTAACAAGGTTAAAGAGCAGAGGGGGATTGAAATGACAGCAGTATTGGAGCTGTTGCTGCCCTCCGTTAAGCAGATGTGATTGAGGGGATGGTTGTTGCAGAAGCGGTTACAGCTCAGTGCAGGCCAGAGCCAAGTGGAAATGAGTTTAGACTACTGGGGGCTGGGGACCAGCCAGCTGAGCACCAGGGAAGGTCAGTCATTGTGCCAGGCATTGGTGAGCAGCAGAGGCCCTCATGACGGCCAGACTTCCCAGAGGGATCTGAGCTGCTGTGTGGGTTCTGTCGGTATGTCTGTCCCACCCCTCATCTGGGCATTGTGATCAGAGGAGTGTGCTATGAGGGAGAGGGGGTCTGGGGGGCAGGGAGGAAGGAGCCTTGGCCCTTGGGTTACCCATGTCCCCCACTCCAGCTCCTGCCTTGTGCTGCCTGCCCCTAGGGATGACCTCATTGCCTCTGTTCTACCACTCTCAATAGGCCTCCACTGTGTGGGGAGACACTGCCTCCTTCCCTCCCCCACCCATGGCCTGCAGCTCGCCTGCTGGGCCTGAACCCACTTCCCTGCTCCTCTGGCTGCCTCAATGTCACCAGGGATTAGTGTGCATTTGTGGCTTTTAGCGGACACTCCCCTCCCGGTTGCGCCTCACTCTCCAGAGCTCAGGGATGGGCTTGCATTTGGGAGCCCCCTGGACCCGGGAGCAGCCCTGACCATCCCTTCTGTTTTCCCTGACGTCAGAAGGCAGAGTGCTTATTCACTTTGGAAGCGCACTCGCAGGAGCAGAAGAAGAGAGTGTGCTGGTGCCTGTCGGAGAACATCGCCAAGCAGCAACAGCTGGCAGCGTCACCCCTGGAGAGCAAGGTAAGCACCTTGCCAGTGACTGTGACCCTGGCTACCCCACTGTCCCCCTGCCAGCCTGGGCCCTTGTGCCTCCGAATGGAGCATGGGTCCAGCTCGAGCTTAGAACTTGGGTCTGGGGAAGAAGCTCTTGGCAAGGGGGCCAGTACTTGAGTGTCTCTCCCTCTTGGCGTCTCACGGGGTCTGTTGAGTGGGTTTGAAGTTGCTCTGGTAAAGCAAGAGTCAAATGAAGCATGACCCATCTCTCCCCAGCTCTGTTCTTGGGTTCGCCCAAGGTTTAATTTGAGCTGGCCTTCCCGCTGCTGCCTGGCACACACCCCGTAGGCCCCCACCACTGGGTAAGCTGTGCCCAGGGGTACCGCACTGATGTTTACCATTGGCCCGAGGCAGATGTAATTAAGGAGATGTTGCAGCAGAAGCTGTTATAGTTCGGTGCAGGCCAGAGCCAAGTAGAAATGAGTTTGGCCTGTTGGGGCCTGGGGACTGGCCAGCCGCGCACCAGGGAAGACAAGAGACTCCCGTTTGAGGCGGCTCTGGGCTGGGCACTGCTCAGCTGGTCTGATGCCTGGATGACAGGACAGCATGGGCCTGCGCCACAGCCTCTTTCTTTGATGCCCCAATGCTGGACACAAGGCACAGTTGCTTCCCCCACTTGTGAGTCATTCAGGTCCCCGCTCTCACTAGAATCAAGTGCTGGCATTTGGGGATTCGGTGTGTTTGGCTGCAGAATTTGCTGAGGTGGTTGGTCTGCTGGATCTGAAGGAAGAGGAGAAATGAGAGTATCTACAGCCTGTGAAGCGCTGGCCTCCTGCTCCTTCCCAATGGGCTCAGGCCCTCCGCGCATGTGCAGTGGGCTTTCGGAGGGGCAGTGCAGGGCCGCAGCTCCCAGCCATTCCCGAAGCGAGCGGGAATCTGAGGATTACCATCTCGGACTGGAAAGTTACCTTATTTTTTATACTAGTCAGGACAGGAATAACTTGGATGAGCGAAGAGAGTGGGAAGAACATGGACTTCAGAGTCATGTTTTACCCCGACTGCCAGTGTGACCTGGGGAAAATTGCTCTACTGCTCTGTGCCTTGATATTGTCCCCATCAGTAACCTGGGGACAGTATTCCTCCCCAGAGAATTGTCATAGGAACTGGAGGAGAGGCTGCATTATACAGTCCCGAACACAGTGCCTGGCAGGCAGTGGTGTGGGGAGCGCCTTCTCCCGCACTGCACAGGTGGCCCCATGCAACACTGGCTGGTTCCATGGAGCAGAGACCTGTCGCTGTGGCTTCAGCTGCCTTGCCTTGCCCGTCTGGTCACGGTCAGAATCCAGGCTGCTCCCTCTTCACTGGAACAGCTCCTGGGACAGCAAGGGGCTGCACTTGTGCTCTCAGCTTTCTTTCCTTTGGGCCAATAATCCTCCCATTCTGGAACAAACAGTGATCTTGCCGTAACTGCAGTTTGCTGGCTCTAGAGCAAGTTGACAGCAGCCTTCTCAATGCCTCGGAGAATTCGGAGAATTGGGTTTGGAGGACAGTGAGTGATGGGCCATTTCTGAGCTGGGCTCTGGTCTCTGCAGGGCTGCCAGCTTGGCAGGCTGACCCTGGGAGGGCCCGAGGATTTGGGGCATGGCTTCAGGGCCATGCCGAGATGCATGGGTATCTATGGCCGTGAGTTTGGGCACCTCTCCAAAGTACAACTCCTTAAATGTGTGTGTAGTGGAGAAGCTGCGTGTGGGTGAGAGAATGGTGAAGAAGGGGTACCTGGCTGCTGGGCCAACCTGAGTCTTCTTCTGGGCTGGAGAACTGGATCCTGCCCTAGACTCCACGCTCCCCATGGCTGTTCTGTAACCATCCCCTCTCCTTAGAGAGGGTTCTGTAAGCATCTTTCGTTAGGGAGCCCCCCAGGGTCTTACTGATCAGCCTTCCTCATCCCTACCTCCATGAAAAACACCTGAGACCTAAGTCTTAGCACTTACTCCTTGTAGTCACTTACAGAAGGCTTCCTGAGAGAAGCTCTTGACGAGAGAATTCTCCCAGCCCTTCTAGGCTCCAGGAATGCTTTAGCAACCTTAGTGACTGGGCCCAGGCTTCCAGCCCACCCCACCTGTGCGCAGCTCCATCAGGGCCTGGCAGTCTCAGGGTGACCACAAACCTCCTTATCATGGGCTGGGCCACAGCCTTTCCACCAAAGTCACCATCCTCTGGGGAAAGAGGGAGGCCAAGACTGGCTTCTTTTCCCAGGGTCCTGCTTGGCCCATTCATTCTACATCCAGAGTAGCATGCTTATTTACATCTGCCTTCTACTGAACAATCCCTCCTGCCCCATCCCCAAATGTATCTCTGGGGAAAGAGAGCTTCAGAAGGCAACTCTTCCAGCTTGCTTGCAGGCCCTGCTCAACCCTCATCTCCTGCTCCTTTCAACAGTGTTTGCTGGGCTGGCCCCATAGCCCAATGGTTAAGGGAGCCAGACTCCGTATGGCTCACCATGGTTTGAGTCCTGGCTCTGGTGGCTTGAAAAACATGGCAGGCAGCATGGATAAATGAAGAAGAGCGGATCACAGTATGACATGCCCTGTTTGGAGGGGGGGTTGCTTTCTTCCTTTCTTTCTTCCCCCTTTCTGGTGAGTGCACACCCCCTCTGACAATAAATACACAAACCAACCCACAGTGTTTGCTGGCTCCTTGGATGGAGCATTGTTCAAATGTCTCAAGGAATGTTAAGTTCTTCCCAAATTTGCAAAACACCATAAATACCATTTGTCCTGAAAATAAAATAGACTTTTTTTTTTTTTTTTGGTAGAAAGGAGGGAATTAAAAAGAGATGGACTCAACAATAGTGGGACAGGTGTGTTGCTACCTGCCGTGTGACCTTTGGCAACAGATTCCCATGACCCCCGTGATCCTATCTGGTCATTGGTCAGGTGGTGTTTTCAGCATGTCAAGCTCTGTAATTATCACCAAAGCTGTGGGGCTGGGGTCTTCTAATTTCTACCAGGGAACTCTACTCTGAAGATTTCGGCATAACTTGACTTCTAGGAAATCTGCCTTTGGGGGCCAGGTCTGCTCTCCTGTTGTGGGTGGGCAGGGGTGCAGGCAGGCCTAGGCTTTCTGTGCTATCTCTGAGGCTCCTGCCACCGTGCAGTGCAGGGGTCTCAGCAGGATGGATGCTGGCAGGCAGGCAGCAACACTCGGCCGCCCTTTCTGGGCATCCACTGCCTCTTTCCTGCTTCCTCTCAGCTAACTAATGTGGGTAGGGCAAGGAAGCTTCCCTGGCTAGGTCTGAGGTTCTCTCTTCTTCTTTCTGTAGAAATAAATGGCCTCCCCTTCTGCCCCAGCTGCCCTCTGCTCAAACCTTCCCCCCTACTTCCTTTGCAGGACTATTACCTGTCCCTGGAGGGCATAACTTGTGTTCGCTTCGTGCACCAGGACTGCTGTTCTGCTTCTCACTCCTGGCCCTTGAGGTCCTATATTAATAGGGAGAGGCAGAGATGTATGATTTCAGGTATTCAAATTTACATAATAAGTGCTTTCTCTGTGCCAGATACTGGTTTAGGTCTTCCTGAGTCACAGAGATAAAGGAGACCTGGTCTCAGTTCTTTGGGAATTCTTCTAATCAGAGTGGAGATCCAAGCAAGGCCATGCCTGCAGGACCCAAGAGGGATCCAGTGGGGTCCTGGCTGGCTGCCCCTTGATCAGACAGTGAGCCTCCTGCTG